TTTTTTGTCAAATTGTCTTTATCTTTATAAGTAAAGCATGTATTCCAAAACAGAAGTTCATTGCTTATGATTTTTGCCTAACGTGCTTATGGGAGTTGTTTCACTTTCTTATATGGAATCTGCCAACTGTCATCCACCCAAGTTCTTTAAATAAGGGGACTGAGGGGATAATGGATCTGCATCTAGAATTAATCTTGCTGCCCTTTTTTGGAGTTTTAAAATTCTTGTTATCCCTTCATTTTTACATTCACCCCAAATAATACAGCAGTAAGTCAACTAGGGGCAGAATATACCCATTGTAATATGTTATCCTTGCATTTATATCTAAAAAATTTCGTTTTTTAGGAAGAAGGTATATTCTGGATGATATATTGGCACAAACTTGGTCAATTTGATTTCTCCAGTTAAGTGTGCTGTCAATTTTAACACCTAATAATTTTTCACATGCAGAATTTTGTAATACTTTTGAATTTATTTTCAAGTTTGGTTGATAAGTCTGAATTGATTGTTTCTGCTTTGTTCCAGTAACCAAACATTTTGTTTTATTTGCATTAATGAACATGTTATTCATTTTGCACCACTCTTCAACCCTGTATAAATCTTCTTGAACATCATCATGTATATTTTCTATGTTTTTCCCTGATTTATGAAGAGTGGTGTCATCAGCATATAGGTCTGTTTCACAATTTTCAATGCATAAGGGAAGGTCGTTTGAAAATAGCACAAACAATAGAGGACCAAGTATAGAACCTTGGGGACACCAAATTTTACATGTTGTTGTTCAGAATAAACATTACAAATTTTTACCTGCTTTGTTATTCAGGTATGACTTGAAAAAACTAACAGTAGCCTCACTAAATCCATAAATTTCAAGCTTTAAACAAAGAATGTCATGATCTACCAAATCAAAAGCTTTTTTAAAATCTAATAAAATTGCAAGGTTTAAATTACCATCATTCATTTCTTGCAACCAATGATATTAATAAGTGCAGTTTGACAAGAATGCTGCGGCCTGAAACCAGATTGTGTAGGGTGTAAAAGTTTAAGTTTAGATAAGTATTTGTACATATTATTAGAAACATGTCTTAATTTCTATTAATTTTGATAAAGTTGGAAGAACAGATATAGGTCTGTAATTTGTTGCTAAAAGCTTGTCACCATCCTTGAAAACTGGTGTTACCTTAGCATTCTTCAGTAAAGAAGGATATTATTAGTTATCTTGGTGTAATCAGGGGTGTACAGAATTTTACACCGTTGTTGAAAATTCATACACCCTGAGGCGCAGCCGAATGGGTGTATGAATTTTCAACAACGGTGTAAAATCCCGTATACCCCTGATTATTAACTCCAATATAACGAATTTATTTCTTATGAACAATTCCTTTACTCATTTTTAAACCGGGATGTAAAATTGAAAAATGGTAATGAAAAATTTCCAGTGTAACATTTTTTCAACGTTGATGTTGCTGCGTATTGTCAAATACTTTTTTTCTTTATTTTTGGGAAATTCAGAAAAAAAATTTTGTTCTTTTGAATTTTCGGGAAAACAAATTTTTTAAAAAAATTAAAAAATAAAAAAAAAAATTTTTTTAATTTTTGTCCTCAAATTTATTTATTATATATATATATTTTTTTTTTTTACATTTTATTTATTTATTTATTTTTTTTTACATTTTATTTTTTTTCTTTATTTTGGCAATTTTTTTTTTTTGGCAAAATTTTATTTATCCCGGGTTGAGCAAGGGTGGGGTGTTATTTACACCGGGGTAATTAACCAATCAGATTGCAGTATTATTGCTGCATAAGAAATAAATACCAGTATCTATCATTCGGTTAAATATGTATGTGAGAAGTGATGCAATAAAAGGGGCACTTAATCTTAGGATTTTTGGTCCAATATTATCCATACCATATGCTTTGTTTATATCGAGTTTTGTTAACTCATTAAATAGCTCATTCATGATCACTGCATGGTGGTATAGAAAACTTATCATGTTTATGTAATTTATTTTTAACAAATTTACCAAGATTACTAAAATCTGCTTTGTTTACAGGTGTATAACTTCCTTGTTCTCTTAATTTTTCAGCACAGGAAGTGAAAAAGTTATTAAAAGTTTCTGCTATTGGTTTTTTACTTTTAGTTGTATTGTTATCTTCTGTGGCTAACTCATATGGTGTTTTTTTAACTTTTGGGTTCAGACTTTGAAGACATTTCTATAAAGTTTTAGGGTCATTGGAGTCTTTTACCATATTTTTATAATAATTCTTTTTTGAGTTATCTATGATTTGTTTAGTTTTATTTCTCCAAAATCTATACTCACTCCATAAACCAAGTGCATTATATTTATCTCTCAAATTCCTAGCGTAAATGATTTCACTGTTATACCATTCAGGCTGTCAGTCCCTTTTAACTCTCTTTTTAACAACAGGAGCATGTTTAAAGCCTTGTTCAACATCATAAAACAATTGTAGACAGTCAGAGGGGTTTTCTTCAAATTCAATTATATGAAAAGGTGTAATTTGCAGATCTAATAAAAATTCATTTTGGTTGAAATGCCCCCACATCTTTTATCTATCAGCTCAGTATTGATGTCATAGCTTATTTTTATCTAATAAGATGATTGTACTTTTAGATAAGTAACTAGTACAGAAAACACTGTGTAACAGTTTACAAGTATTTAGTTAGGTCAGAGAGCTAGTACTTCCTCAATGCATACAATTAATATTAAACAAAAGAAAATTAGTACAAAGCACATTCAAGATAGACGTCAGGTTTAGGAAAAGGTGTTGGTTAGTTAAAAACTGTGGAAAAAAGTGGATTATAATATTATTAACTGATATTCATGATATTGCTGAACAGATTTTTATACGATTTAAGTGAGTTATAAATAATCTCACATTCAATTTTATCGTTTAATATATATTTCTTTAGAAGAAGAATGTAAAAGAAAGAAAAACTATTCATAAATATTCTCAATCTAGGATTAAATGAAAAAGATATTTTAATTTACTAAAACATTGTAAAACGATATATTTGTTAAATTTAAAAAGTTTACTCTGACAATTTCAGAATGACATTAACAATGATTAATAGTCTCCTTTGTATTTGTTAACATATCACACCACAGTTACATTGAACCTAAAGATATATGCGTACACAGAGATTATTTTGAAGAAAAAAAAATTCTATAAATCCAATCTTTTTTCTTGGCTAACATTTACCGTCAAATCCACAATTGACATGCATTGGGCCACCATTTTGAATTGCTAGAATCCACAAATTTTCCTGTAATACAAAATTATAATCGAAAATTAAACATAACCTGCCTCAAATACGAGGTTTCAATGAGATTTAATCCAAATCTGAATCATACATGTAAAGAAATAACCTTTGGTTTAAGCCTTTCAATTGGATAATTTCATGTTTTGTCATGCATGTCATGACGTTAACCAACCAAAATCAGTAATGAAGTTTCGTGGAATTTTGTTATATATGGTAAATTAATAAATTTTTACAAGCTCTAATGTACTATTTCATTTTGAGATGCATCCGACATGCCAGAATAGGAATAGCAGTACTGTAGCTGACGAGTTGCCACTGTCAATTTGGATTTAATGATCACAAATATCCTTTTTATTGACTAGCTATGTGTCACCAGTAAAACTGCCTTTGCGACTGTCAAATCTCCAATTAACAGTGGCAACTCTTTAAATACGGTATTGTTACTCCTTAATTCTATCATGTCTATAGAAAGCATTTCAAAGCGTAATCTTATTGGTACTGCAAAGGTATATTTTTTGAACTTGATGAATAATAGAAAATGTGTGGTAAGAAACAAAACGAGACAGCAGCCCAATGGCAAATAAACATCAAATGAACTTATCATCGGAACAAGTACATCATCCGTAAATATAAATCAACAAGCAGACATCTTATTCTTTCAGGTATTTCATATCCCATCTTTTATGGTAATATTCTATACAAAGCACAAAAAAGGCATTATTCACCTCAATAGCTAACCAAACCTTTAACAGACTTATTTAGAAGGAATATAGTTACGATACTATTGTCAGGTCATTAAAGATCACATTTTTTGGAATTAATATTGATTCACTCATGTCTACATGCATGGGGGTCTTGGCATTGGAAATAAACACATTTATTCTAAAGCCAGTTTTTGGCATGTTACAGGTTATGTTCTTCTAGTTATATATGTTATGATGGTATGATACTTATAAACCCCTAATGGGAGGGATAATGTGCTTAATTTCATATGATGAAGACATAATCTTTCAATCAGTTTAATTGAGGTCTGGAGCTGGCATGTCCATTTTCTCTTAACTTAGTAGTATACATTTTTATTAACATGATTAAGGGGCCAGCTACAGCCCACCTCCAGGTGCGAGATTTTCTCGCTGTGTTGAAGACCCATTGGTGGCCTTGGGCTGTTTTCTGCTCTTTGGTCATGTTGTTGTCTCTTATTATATAGACACATTCCCTGTTTCCATTCTCAATTTTATTAAATAGCCATTATAGGGCAACACATTTAGTAATGTTATACAATAGACAGGTAATTATACAATTGACAGGTATGTATACAATCGACAGGTATTTATACAATAGACAGGTACTTATACAATTACTACTGTTTTACTGTATTACCATTTGTACTATTGTCTGCTCCTTTTTTATTTACTAAGTGTTTGAAAGCAATGGTGAAGTAATAAGTATGTATAAATACAATAGACAGGTATTTTTACAATAGGTATTTATACCCTAGACCAGTTTTTATGAATACAATAGACAGGTATTTATAAGTACTATATTAAACAGGTGTTTATACAATATACATGTAATTTTTTGTATGAGGCTCTAAATCATTGAGTTTTTAAAAGTAGTGAATAGATTTAGCAGAAACAAAAGTTTTCTATAAACCCCCAATTCTCCAAATAACATATTTTACAATTTTTCATTGCAAATTAATGTTGATTAATTTCAGAAAGAAGTTATGTCTGGAAGAAAATTAGTGGAAGATGAAGATGGAATCCATTTTGTTAACAGTTTTGTTGACCTTCTGTTGGTTATTGGTCTGGATGACAATTCTGGCCTCATCCCATATGACGGGAAGGTAATTTGTTATTGTGTCACCTTAAACAAGGGGGAAAAAAGAGACCAAATGACCTAGACATTAACAATTATAGGTCACAGTACAGCCTTCAACATTTTCAACAGTGAGCAAAACACATACCACAAAGCATGCTTTAAAAGGTCCCAAAAATGACAAATATGAAACAATTCAAAAGAGAAAACTAATGGTCTGATTTATGTACAAAACAATAAAGTCAGGAGCCTGTAGTTCAGTGGTTGTCGTTGGTTCATGTCTGTCATATTTGTTTTTCGTAAACTGTTTATATAAATTAGGCTGTTAGTTTTCTCAATTGAATTGTTTCATATTTTACTTGTTGGGGCCTTTTATAGCCGACTATACGGCACAGGTTTTTCTCATTGTTGAAGGCCATACAATTTTCTATAATTGCTTACACTCATTTCATTTGAAATTTGGTGGACAGTTGTCTCATTAGCAATTATACCACATCTCCTTACTTTTATATTAACTCAACAGATCGATACAAAGCACAAAACTATATAACAAAAACACAAAAGACACAAATTACAGATCTGAGAATACTTGATGTTACCATGGTTACTGAAAACTAGTTCAAAGCCAATAACAACTAATAAAAAAATCATGTATCTAAGACTAAAATATCAATTAGTACACATCCAATATCCAATGGATTTAATGTAAGGCAAAAATAAATAATACATGTGTTTTCGCTAACTCTACCTACCCTAACACTTTTATGCCATTTTGGAATAAGCACTGTTAAAGTCAGACTGATTCCTTAGTAGTAACCAGCTAAAAAATGTCTGTAAAATTAAAAACCAATTGTTCAGATAACAATTGAAGGTTTTTCCACATCAATTAAAATTCTAAGTTATTGAAAAGAAGCTGATGTCAGTTTACTCAAAGTTACTACTGGCGTCCAATGATAGGTTTATGCAAACTGATTAAAGAAAATAAATGTTTTTTATATACTTCTGTCTGAAATAGTGTAGATGATTTGCTATTTCCGGTTTAGAAAAAGTCACTTCTTGTCTTATAAGATAGCTTTATTCACATAGATTCCAAAAATATATGGTTTCTATATACTTTTGCCAATAAAAAGGGAGATAATTTGCTACTTTCGGTTCATTGATGGTCACATCCGGTCTCAAATGAAAGGTTTATACCCGCCTTTTAACAATATATGGTTTCTTTGTACTTTTCCATGAAAAAGTGCAAAAATGGCTACTTCCGGTTTACTCAAGGCCACTTCTGGTTGACAAATTTCAAGGTCATATGTCACTCAACATTTTGTAAAAGACCATATGGCTTATTAATGAACAAAGTTGAAGTAATAATCAATTAACCTTATATTAAACATTTCAGGGGCAATAACTCCTATAAGATGTCATTAGATGGTTTCAGACCAGAAAATACAAAAATAAGCAAAAGTCAAAATTGAGAACATGCCCTTGGCCTTTGACCTTGACCTCATTTTTGTCGAGCCTTCGACTTTTGTCGAAAAAGCGAGACATAGCGATCCTACATTCCGTCGGCGTCGGCGTCGGCGTCGTCGTCGTCGGCGGCGGCGTCCACAAATATTCACTCTGTGGTTAAAGTTTTTGAAATTTTAATAACTTTCTTAAACTATCCTAGATTTCTACCAAACTTGGACAGAAGCTTGTTTATGATCATAAGATTATATTCAAAAGTAAATTTTGTAAAAAAAAAATTCCATTTTTTCCGTATTTTACTTAAAAGTGGACTTAGTTTTTCTGCCAGGAAACATTACATTCACTCTGTGGTTAAAGTTTTTGAAATTTTAATAACTTTCTTAAACTATCCCGGATTTCTACCAAACTTGGAAAGAAGCTTGTTTATGATCAAAAGATAGTATCCAGAAGTAAATTTTGTAAAAAAAAAATCCATTTTTTCCGTATTTTACTTATAAATGGACTTAGTTTTTCTGCCAGTTAACATTACATTCACTCTGTGGTTAAAGTTTTGGAAATTTTAATAACTTTCTCAAACTATCCTGGATTTGTACCAAACTTAGACAGAAGCTTGTTTATGATCATAAGATAGTATCCAGAAGTAAATTTTGTAAAAAAAAAAATCCATTTTTTCTGTATTTTACTTATAAATGGACTTAGTTTTCTGCCAGTTAACATTACATTCACTCTGTGGTTAAAGTTTTTAAAATTTTAACAACTTTCTTAAACTATCCTGGATTTGTACCACACTTGGACAGAAGCTTGTTTATGATCAAAAGCTAGTATCTAGAAGGAAATTTTGATAAAATTTTGTTCCATTTTTTCCGTATTTTACTTATAAATGGACTTAGTTTTTCTTCCAGTCAACATTACATACATTCTGCAGTTTAAGTTTTTAAAACATTTATTAGATTCATAAATTATCCTGGATTTTACCAAACTTGGACAGAAGCTACTTACAATCAAAAGATAGTATAGAGAGGAATATTTTTATTAATTTTTTTCCTCATTTTTGTTGAGCCTGCGATTAACACCAAAAGTAGGCGAGACACTGGGTTCCGCGGAACCCTTACGAATTTTTTAAGTTAGGACCCAGGGACCTCAAATAAAAAGTTTCTAGGGTTATACGGCTAATGGTTTATGAATTAGAAAAACATAACGACAAATTTATTTGGCTACCTGCCCTGAAATTATCAGCCAAACAGGGTATCTGATTTTTAGGTTAATGCCCCTGAATTGATGATTTTACGGAAATTTTGCAGTTTTTGGCTACTATCTTGAATATTATTATAGATAAAGATAAACTGTAAACAGTAAACAGTAAAAATGTTCAGCAAAGTAAGATCTACAAATAAGTTTATATGACCAAAATTGTCAATTGACCCCTTAAGGAGTTATTGTCCTTTAAAGGCAGTTTTTCACAATTTGTTCATCTAGTTTGCTTACATAAAAAAAAAATTCTCATTTGAAACTGATGAATCAATTTCATCCAAACTTCGGATGAATGAGTTTCATAGTATAGTATAAATTTTGTATTGTATTTCCTTGTACATTAAGAAACATAGCCATTATGGCTAAAATGGAACATAGGGGTAAAATGTTTTTTTTTTGCTTTTGAAGAAAATATAACAGATACAAAGAACATTTAAATGGCATTTTTAAGCCACTCATTAATATATACTGAAAGTCAAAAATAATCATTGATGAAAGATTTAAGCAAAAAATTACAGGTGAGCGATTCAGGCTCTTGAGGACCTCTTGTTAGTTTTTATGTATATGAAAAAAAGAAGAATTGGGATAATTGTTAATGTGACAGCAACTCAACAACACAAAAAAACAAATGCCATAAATTTAAGAATCATGCATCTGCTTACAAGGTTGAAAACTGAAAATTACATACACAGTGATGACAGTGTATTTATAAATTTTAATATATTGTTTCTGCTTTAGGAAGAAGACAGCATTACATTAGAAGATTTATTCCTCATACAATATGAACCACAAGTTCTGTCAGCGGCTTCGTCAAAAGTTATGATGCATTTCTTCCCTCATGCACGTCAAGATTTAGACTATCCACGAATTAGACGACAGCTAAAAGATGACTACATCTATAAACGCACAGCGATGAGGAGCATTGATAATTTAACACAATCTAGATTTCATAAGACCGTTAACGTGTCAAGACACACTGCTCCTGTTAGTGTTAGTCGTCACATGTCTATCAGAGGCACGACTATAAAGAAAAACAAGATGACCACTTCTGTCCCAGAATTCCCTGTTTCAGAGGAAGTCATCAAAAGTATAACAACATTTTGTTATCCAGGTAATTGTTTGCCCTTAAATTATAATGATTTTATCTAGTTACTGACCATGGTTATTAGTGTTTAATACTTTTAAAATTCTATAAACATTTTTTATTTTTTATTCAACAACAATATTACACATACTCTTAACATATTTCTTCACAATTCTACGAACATTTATTATTTTCACATTGGAGGCATGATTAATTCACCTTTTTATAACAACATGAACAAGCAAAAGGAATATTGTAAACAAAAATTAATGCAATGTTTTTATTAAATGCCAAAATTGTAATGGAGTATCTTTTGCAACAATTAAAAGTTGAGTGTTAAATTTCTAGAAAAATGTGTTAAAGGTTAAAACTAGTAGATAATCAAAGATAAGTCAGTAAGTGTGCAATGTGTGTGACAATGTTCTATTTACCCCCTGTAAGATAAAGCTAACAATATCCATCAAATTTAACATATATACATAATGCTTGCACGAATTATTTCACAAATAATCTCCAGAAAAAAAGTGTTTAATCCTAATAATTCTCAACCCAAATAATTGATATTTTATGTTTATTTTTTGTTTCATTTTATTCTCTTCACCTTCAAATCCCCAGTTAATATGTCCTTGCTAAATTATTAATAAGGAGTGAGCCACCATATATAGACTTGCTGAAATCCATAAATGTGTGATTAATGCAATTGAATAAAATTTATGAAAAAAATGTCTACCTAAAACAGTGTTCTCCCCAGGATTTTTGGATAACACCAGGGTAATGTGTGTGGACTTCTTGGTGAAATATTTCATGCAATCAGTTGTGTCGCGTCGCGTCGCTTAACTCTAGTTACTGTAGTTTTTATGTCTCTTGTTTTGTTTTAACACTGTGGTACTGTGTTATGTAGACATTGATTCAGAAAATTATTGGTAAAAAAGAAGTAAATCAAAAAACAGTTTGTATACTTTAATATTTTTTTAAAATAAATAAATTATGATTCATAATAAAATATTCATCTGAATTTAAAGTAATTAAATCTTTTATAAAATCCAAAATCAATAAAAATTAAATATCATTCAAAAGAGAACAAAAATGTTCAATTTAAAAAACTTTCTAGTTTCTAGAAAAAAAGTTGTTGTATGTGAAAGGATTCCTGTCATAAGAAGATATAAAATTAACAAGAACAATTGCAAATATTGTTTTATTATTTGAACCAGTTTCTATCTTAGATTTTAATAAAAAGAAATTTTTCATAAATTTTAGAACATTTTGCCATAGATTTCATGTAAATATTAACCTTTCTTGTCTTTGGTGATTATCAAACATTGATACAGACTTAATACTGCCCTAAAATCTAAATTTTTATTTGTCATGAACCATTTAAAAAGAATTCCTAAATCTATAAATTTATCTTTGGTCTATAGATCTATAAGTATAAACCATATTCATTGTCAACAACTAAGTCTCCCTATTTTCCCACCTAAATGACAGGAAGTTGATATAAATAGATTTAACATGTGCTTATGGATAAAATTTGCAAGATTATTTCTGTTATTCATTAATTATGGCTATAGATGTCCAATTTGAAGGTACAGTCATGCATTTTATTTATAAAATATAATAGATTGCAATTAATTGTAAATAAACTTGAATATTCTACGTGAACTAACTGGGTCATGTGATATGTACAGACAGATACTAGTTTGAAACCCAACTATCATGCAATAACTATGTCATAATTAAAGATAATATTGGCCATGGTTTAATCAGAGACATATAATACTATAATATAAGAATTGGAAAAATGTATAGTTGTCCATTATACGTAATGAGCCACCATTATGATGTACAAAAAATGTACCTTTCGGGTCAAGACACTGTTTGTGTACAAAGTATTTGCCGACTTGTCACAGGTCAGTGCTTGGGTGGAGAGTGAAGTCGTAAAATAGTTATCTGTGATCATAAAGTTATGAACTCTTAATTAAAACATAAAAGAATCATGTTACAAGTGTTAATTACGACGATTAAATCCAATCAACAAGGTTAACCTCATAAGGTAAATCGATCACGTGGTGTAAACAATCTGTGTTGAACTGGTTTGAACTGGTCAAATTTCACCTGGAATTCTATACCGCACAGAAAAGATTTAACAAGTCTTTTAAAACTTTACCGATTTACGATTTTTTAACTGAAAATTTTAGCACCACAGAGAAAAATTATACATTGCGGTAAGAACGATACCACCACGGTAAAAAATTATACATTGCGGGCCAGCGGTCCTTTAAGGGCCTGGGGAGAACACTGCCTAAAATAAATCATTAAACCAAGCATTTTATAACATGTAATACTCCTCAGACTTTAAACACTATTATATGCACAAGTTTGACAAAATATCATTGACCTTTCACCTTTACCATGTTTACCTTTTTGGACCCTTAATTCATTCAGCAGAAAATGACAAAAATTCCTTAATTCATTTAAATGTTATTTTGTTTACCTACGATATTTGTTTAACTACTGAAATTCAGAACTTTTTGCTATATATTTTTTTTATCATAGCCAAAATTGCAATGGATAGATTTCAGAAAATAAAAAGTTCCATTTTAATATTTTTAAAATTTGTCAGCATTTATGTATTCTGCAATTCCCAAAATAAAAATTTTAAACAAGTTTTGTCTATTGATCAGCAATCACCAACAATGAGCATGTCTAAATTTCTGAATGATTAGTAAATAATTGTGTATTGCAGATGGTATGAAGGTTTTTCCAGAGAAACTGGAGAATTTTGTCCATTTTCTTGTGTTGACAGATATAATGGGAAATAAGACCTATGCCACATGTTTGACTTTTAACAGAAGATTTATCATAGAAAAGGTTGGTACAGTCAGACTATAACAGATTGGTCCATATTAACTAAGGGCAGTTCTAATACAAATGTTGGGGTCTAAGAAAGCACTTATTTTTCCTTCTACTTGAGATAATTGCATAAGAAGCTTGTAAAACTGAAATTTAAAAAATGCCAATCTTTGCTGCATATTGATAAAAAAATTGGTAAAAATCATGTACATACAACATGTACAAAATCTAAAGATCTTTGGGGTCACCAATTTTTGGAGTATTCAACAAAGTCCTTAGCATGTTACAATTTCCCAAAGCATACTTATTTTTTCACACCTAAGTTATCGAGCACACAGGTCTACTCTTGTCATATGTACATTCATTAGAGAAATATTGTCTTTTCGTGAATATCAAAATTTAAAAGTCTGTCTGTGTAGGTTAAGAAATTAAAGATAACTACTCTTATAAAGTAGGTATCTTTTTACTATTTTTTTATACAATTTTAAGCAAAGGTCGTCATGATTTTTGTACATGTATTTGCGGTCTTCTTGATCTTTTTTTTCCTTGACTTTCTCTGATCTAGCCGAATATATATTTACTGCTAGTAGAAAAATAAATTGAAGTTGGTACTCAGGAATTTATTCGCATAGAAACATTTTAAACCAATTTTAAGTCAAACTTCTATAGCCTGCTGTACTCGTCGTTTGCTACTTAAGGAGGGAAATGATAACAAATGGAAGTTTTGTTTTTATTTCAAATTATTTCTGTTTTTACAATTTACGAGAATGCTTTCCTGTGAATCCATAATTGATAGCATCCTTGCTAAAATGGGACAAATATTGAGAAGATCTAGTGTTTACAGGGGAGGTAATATTTTGTCACTAGATTTCCCACTGGGTACAACATACCACACCAACCACTTACAGTCAACTCCTCTCAAAAAATTAGAAACTGCAAACAAAGACAAGATTTACTATTTACAGCTATTTTCCTGTTTGTTTATTCAATACTGTGCTCACAAATATTTTTTCTGGTCATGCATGGGCAGATTCAGGTGGGGTGCATTAGGCATGCACCCCCAACCCTGTATTTAAAATTTGGAGAAAAAATTTTTTTTTTATTATAGTAATCTGAAAAGGACTAGTTATGCTGCTAAGTGTTTGAAAAATGAACTAAACGGCTGAACTTGACTTAAAATTTTATTGTGCCTCCGCCTTAGGCAATGGGGGCATTAAGTGTTACTCTTGTATGTCCCTCTTTCCGTCCCTCAGTCCATCCCATTTTTGTTTCCGCAAAAACCAGCAGATAGAGTTTGAATTTGAGCAGTGAGTCACTTTACCATGTTTACCGTTCTAAGAGTTACGCCCATTTTTAACTTGAAAAATTGCAAAGCTTGAACTGGGGCATGCATCTCCTTGGACACATTCTCTTTATTGTTCATTTTTATGCCCCGGCCGTAGCGGAGGGGGCATTAAGTTTTACCCTTGTCCGTCTGTCATGTCTGGACGGACGTACGTGTCCATACCTCCCAAAATTGGTTTCCCTTCTCTAACTTGAGTTTGCCTTAACCAAATGTTATGAAACTTATACACAATGCTTAATACTTCAAAACACAGATCAAGTTGAATTTAGTAGCGTCACTTTAATCATTATCGAGTTATGCCCCTTTATAAATGGAAAAATTGCAATATTTTTAGTTTGCATTCTGTTACTTAAGTTTGACCCAATCAAACATTATGAAACCTATTTATATTACCTTAAAACACAGATCAAGTACAAATTTGGGTAGAGTCACTTTTATCGTTCTTGAGTTATGTCCCTTTATAATGTTGTATGCAAGCGGGGGCATCATCTGTGTCCATGGGGACATATTCTCCATTTATTTTTTTTATGTTTTGATGATCAAAATTGCTGTTTTTGTTTAAGATCTATACAAAAGTTATTTACTAAGAAATTTAATGTATGGCAGAACGAAAATGTCTTTATTTGTTTTTTTTGTTTCTTCCTCAAGAAAAATAATGTAGGTAGATAGGTAAGATTTCTTTTTATTTTTCTAATTGTTTTCAAAAGATGAGTACAAGGAGAGACCACCTATCTTATTGGAGTTCAGCTGTGTTTTTTAGTGGGTTTCGTGTTGCTCAATCTTTAGTTTACTATGTAGACATGTTGTTTATAGAAATAAGAAGATGTGGTATGAGTGCCAATGAGACAACTCTCCATCCAAGTCACAATGTGTAAAAAGTAAACAATTAAAGGTCAAATTACAGCCTTCAACACGGAGCCTTGGCTCACAATGAACAGCAAGCTATAAATTTGTCTTTTTGATAATTTTTCAGTCTTTGCCATGGCATTGTCAGTTTGTTTTTGACTTATGAGTTTAAATATCACTTTGGTATCTTTCGCCTCTCATGTAAATTTGATCAACTGATAGAACTAGTAACGTTTGATTTACAATTTTTGTAGGAAGAAAAGTCAAAGATATGGATGAACCTTGACACCAGTTCAGATGACCTTGAGAAACAACAAGTTAGATGTTATATACCACACTGCTGTGTACTCATATCAAAGTTTCCATATTTTACTGTAATGAAAGATGCATTATCATAGTGAGTTTATATAAATAAGAAGATGTGGTATGAGTGCCAATGAGACAAATCTCCATCCAAGTCACAATGTATAAAAAGTAAACAAATATGAGTCAAAGTACGGCTTTCAACACAGAGCCTTGGCTCATACCAAACAGCAAGCTATAAAGGTGTAATACCTCCATTGATTTACCCCTATTAGTCTTTGTTAAATTTGCACATTTCAAAAAATTGTGCAGAATTTATCTTTGTTTCAAATAAAGAAATACTTAGCATGAGTAAAGTTTTATCCTGTCCAGTACTATAGAAAAAATTTCACATAACATTTCATTGCATATAAGAAAATAACCATCACTGGAAGTTAACATATCAAATTTTCCCCCTTTTTTAACCTGTGTTCAAGCTTTAGTAACCATGTAACCTCAAGTTTCCAAAATATTCTATAGAAACCCCAAATAAAAAAATAATGGTGCTTTGAAATACCCAAGATATATGTTTATGACCCAGAAATGTTTTACTGCAATGAAATGTAGGATCAATTACCTACAACTGTCAAATTCAAGGGAATATTTTTTTTCGACCTATTTTCGTATGCAACCGGATGTGACGTACTATGATTTGGAGGTATTACACCTAAAGAAGACTTTTTTGTTAAATAAACTGAATGTGACTTTTTTCCTATGTAATACTGGTTATTTCAAGCATTTCTGTCAAGTTTTGTCATAATCAGTTCAATAGTTTGAGAAAAATCTAATGTAATGTAAGACGACATCTACAGTGTTTCGAGCAAAATTTCTTCGAAAAATCCAAACCAAGTCGCATCATGATAGAATATAGTGTGGACCAATAAATGATCAAATATTTATCTCATCTGCCTACAAACAGTTGAATATGATACAAAAGATGACTTTAGGATGATAAATACTACTGATGGATCTCTTTGTCTTCCTTATAAGGTCTCTTTTGGTCCATTTATACCTCTCATTTCCTCAAAATTTCTACTTTCTAGGCCAATAAATAAAATTTTTGGGGTAACTTTCACTCATTTATGATAGAAATGTTATACAATGTAATAAATGATTAACTGAAGTATTCAAGCTGAATGAACTATACGTATAAAATTTTACTGTCTCCAAGGAGGTTTCAATTAGTCCTTACGTAAAACTTAAATTTACGCCGTGTTCCAGAGAGGGACATAAAAAGCTTCTCTTTTGGTGAATAATTTGTTGTTACTGCTTTAAAAATAATTTCATTTACTTAAAACTATATAGTTTTTAAATTTCTTAGGAAAAATTTTCTAGTATAGCAGAATTATAAGAAATAAGGAGAAAAAGCTCCCCAAAGCTCTAAGTATGGCTTGTTCTGTCAACTAATATTCAGGGTAAAGTCCTATTTCAAGGAAATTTTCTCATAAAATGTGTTTTGGAGACTCAATCCACTCAGAATATTTCATTATTTGTAATATTTCACTTAAATAGCAAGAAATTTTAACACATGAGAGTACTCACAAGGTCAAAGGTGCATGTACAGCTTCCCATAAAGGGCCCCAAAATGACTAGTGTAAAACAATTCAAACAGCATACATTTACAGATTACATGTGGAAAGGTGATTAGGAACTCTTGACAGCATTCTCATTTAACAGTTTTTTTGTTATACAAAGGAAGAGGTTTGAATGAACTTAAATTTACTCATCACTCTTTTCACAGAACCTATACTGAACAGTATGACTTCATATTAAGTTAGCAATTGAAAAATGATGAGTTATAAGTGTGTTGGCTTATTTTATTCTTTCAAGCACCTTCTTATTGTTTTCCATAACTTAAAAATTTCAATTGGGGGTATATATGCTAAGCATGACAACGTGTGCATTCTTGTTTAGTGTTTAGAAAACACATTTTAATTATAATTCAGACTATAAAAATGTAAGAACTCGTAATTTTTGAGTGACTTAAACATAACATAAGCCATGCACTGTCCATGACTTTGTTATCTTGATTGTAGCATGGTATCTCGCATGGAAGCTGACCCAGAAGAAATGTACAGCCATATAAAAGATATTACCCATACACTGACCATGACTCTTTTCTCTTGATTGTAGCATGGTATCTCGCATGGAAGCTGACCCAGAAGAAATGTACAGCCATATAAAAGATATTACAGATACACTGACCATGACTCTTTTCTCTTGATTGTAGCATGGTATCTCGCATGGAAGCTGACCCAGAAGAAATGTACAGCCATATAAAAGATATTACCCATACACTGACCATGACTCTTTTCTCTTGATTGTAGCATGGTATCTCGCATGGAAGCTGACCCAGAAGAAATGTACAGCCATATAAAAGATATAACCCATACACTGACCATGACTCTTTTCTCTTGATTGTAGCATGGTATCTAGCATGGAAGCTGACCCAGAAGAAATGTACAGCCATATAAAAGATATAACCCATACACTGACCATGACTCTTTTCTCTTGATTGTAGCATGGTATCTAGCATGGAAGCTGACCCAGAAGAAATGTACAGCCATATAAAAGATATAACCCATACACTGACCATGACTCTTTTCTCTTGACTGTAGCATGGTATCTAGCATGGAAGCTGACCCAGAAGAAATGTACAGCCATCTAAAAGATATAACCCATACACTGACCATGACTCTTTTCTCTTGATTGTAGCATGGTATCTCGCATGGAAGCTGACCCAGAAGAAATGTACAGCCATATAAAAGATATTACCCATACACTGACCATGACTCTTTTCTCTTGATTGTAGCATGGTATCTCGCATGGAAGCTGATCCAGAAGAAATGTACAGCCATATAAAAGATATTACCCATACACTGACCATGACTCTTTTCTCTTGATTGTAGCATGGTATCTCGCATGGAAGCTGACCCAGAAGAAATGTACAGCCATATAAAAGATATTACCCATACACTGACCATGACTCTTTTCTCTTGATTGTAGCATGGTATCTCGCATGGAAGCTGACCCAGAAGAAATGTACAGCCATATAAAAGATATTACAGATACACTGACCATGACTCTTTTCTCTTGATTGTAGCATGGTATCTCGCATGGAAGCTGACCCAGAAGAAATGTACAGCCATATAAAAGATATTACAGATACACTGACCATGACTCTTTTCTCTTGATTGTAGCATGGTATCTCGCATGGAAGCTGACCCAGAAGAAATGTACAGCCATATAAAAGATATTACCCATACACTGACCATGACTCTTTTCTCTTGATTGTAGCATGGTATCTCGCATGGAAGCTGACCCAGAAGAAATGTACAGCCATATAAAAGATATCACCCATACACTGACCATGACTCTTTTCTCTTGATTGTAGCATGGTATCTCGCATGGAAGCTGACCCAGAAGAAATGTACAGCCATATAAAAGATATTACAGATACACTGACCATGACTCTTTTCTCTTGATTGTAGCATGGTATCTCGCATGGAAGCTGACCCAGAAGAAATGTACAGCCATATAAAAGATATTACCCATACACTGACCATGACTCTTTTCTCTTGATTGTAGCATGGTATCTAGCATGGAAGCTGACCCAGAAGAAATGTACAGCCATATAAAAGATATTACCCATACACTGACCATGACTCTTTTCTCTTGATTGTAGCATGGTATCTCGCATGGAAGCTGACCCAGAAGAAATGTACAGCCATATAAAAGATATAACCCATACACTGACCATGACTCTTTTCTCTTGATTGTAGCATGGTATCTCGCATGGAAGCTGACCCAGAAGAAATGTACAGCCATATAAAAGATATTACAGATACACTGACCATGACTCTTTTCTCTTGATTGTAGCATGGTATCTCGCATGGAAGCTGACCCAGAAGAAATGTACAGCCATATAAAAGATATTACCCATACACTGACCATGACTCTTTTCTCTTGATTGTAGCAAGGTATCTCGCATGGAAGCTGACCCAGAAGAAATGTACAGCCATATAAAAGATATTACCCATACACTGACCATGACTCTTTTCTCTTGATTGTAGCATGGTATCTAGCATGGAAGCTGACCCAGAAGAAATGTACAGCCATATAAAAGATATAACCCATACACTGACCATGACTCTTTTCTCTTGATTGTAGCATGGTATCTAGCATGGAAGCTGACCCAGAAGAAATGTACAGCCATATAAAAGATATAACCCATACACTGACCATGACTCTTTTCTCTTGATTGTAGCATGGTATCTCGCATGGAAGCTGACCCAGAAGAAATGTACAGCCATATAAAAGATATTACCCATACACTGACCATGACTCTTTTCTCTTGATTGTAGCATGGTATCTCGCATGGAAGCTGACCCAGAAGAAATGTACAGCCATATAAAAGATATAACCCATACACTGACCATGACTCTTTTCTCTTGATTGTAGCATGGTATCTCGCATGGAAGCTGACCCAGAAGAAATGTACAGCCATATAAAAGATATACAGATACACTGACCATGACTCTTTTCTCTTGATTGTAGCATGGTATCTAGCATGGAAGCTGACCCAGAAGAAATGTACAGCCATATAAAAGATATAACCCATACACTGACCATGACTCTTTTCTCTTGATTGTAGCATGGTATCTCGCATGGAAGCTGACCCAGAAGAAATGTACAGCCATATAAAAGATATTACAGATACACTGACCATGACTCTTTTCTCTTGATTGTAGCATGGTATCTCGCATGGAAGCTGACCCAGAAGAAATGTACAGCCATATAAAAGATATTACAGATACACTGACCATGACTCTTTTCTCTTGATTGTAGCATGGTATCTCACATGGAAGCTGACCAAGAAGAAATGTACAGCCATATAAAAGATATTACCCATACACTGACCATGACTCTTTTCTCTTGATTGTAGCATGGTATCTCGCATGGAAGCTGACCCAGAAGAAATGTACAGCCATATAAAAGATATCACCCATACACTGACCATGACTCTTTTCTCTTGATTGTAGCATGGTATCTCGCATGGAAGCTGACCCAGAAGAAATGTACAGCCATATAAAAGATATTACCCATACACTGACCATGACTCTTTTCTCTTGATTGTAGCATGGTATCTCGCATGGAAGTTGACCCAGAAGAAATGTACAGCCATATAAAAGATATAACCCATACACTGACCATGACTCTTTTCTCTTGATTGTAGCATGGTATCTAGCATGGAAGCTGACCCAGAAGAAATGTACAGCCATATAAAAGATATTACAGATACACTGACCATGACTCTTTTCTCTTGATTGTAGCATGGTATCTCGCATGGAAGCTGACCCAGAAGAAATGTACAGCCATATAAAAGATATTACCCATACACTGACCATGACTCTTTTCTCTTGATTGTAGCATGGTATCTCGCATGGAAGCTGACCCAGAAGAAATGTACAGCCATATAAAAGATATAACCCATACACTGACCATGGCTCTTTTCTCTTGATTGTAGCATGGTATCTAGCATGGAAGCTGACCCAGAAGAAATGTACAGCCATATAAAAGATATAACCCATACACTGACCATGACTCTTTTCTCTTGATTGTAGCATGGTATCTAGCATCGAAGCTGACCCAGAAGAAATGTACAGCCATATAAAAGATATAACCCATACACTGACCATGACTCTTTTCTCTTGATTGTAGCATGGTATCTCGCATGGAAGCTGACCCAGAAGAAATGTACAGCCATATAAAAGATATTACAGATACACTGACCATGACTCTTTTCTCTTGATTGTAGCATGGTATCTCGCATGGAAGCTGACCCAGAAGAAATGTACAGCCATATAAAAGATATTACAGATACACTGACCATGACTCTTTTCTCTTGATTGTAGCATGGTATCTAGCATGGAAGCTGACCCAGAAGAAATGTACAGCCATATAAAAGATATAACCCATACACTGACCATGACTCTTTTCTCTTGATTGTAGCATGGTATCTCGCATGGAAGCTGACCCAGAAGAAATGTACAGCCATATAAAAGATATAACCCATACACTGACCATGACTCTTTTCTCTTGATTGTAGCATGGTATCTCGCATGGAAGCTGACCCAGAAGAAATGTACAGCCATATAAAAGATATTACAGATACACTGACCATGACTCTTTTCTCTTGATTGTAGCATGGTATCTCGCATGGAAGCTGACCCAGAAGAAATGTACAGCCATATAAAAGATATTACAGATACACTGACCATGACTCTTTTCTCTTGATTGTAGCATGGTATCTCGCATGGAAGCTGACCAAGAAGAAATGTACAGCCATATAAAAGATATTACCCATACACTGACCATGACTCTTTTCTCTTGATTGTAGCATGGTATCTCGCATGGAAGCTGACCCAGAAGAAATGTACAGCCATATAAAAGATATCACCCATACACTGACCATGACTCTTTTCTCTTGATTGTAGCATGGTATCTCGCATGGAAGCTGACCCAGAAGAAATGTACAGCCATATAAAAGATATTACCCATACACTGACCATGACTCTTTTCTCTTGATTGTAGCATGGTATCTCGCATGGAAGCTGACCCAGAAGAAATGTACAGCCATATAAAAGATATAACCCATACACTGACCATGACTCTTTTCTCTTGATTGTAGCATGGTATCTAGCATGGAAGCTGACCCAGAAGAAATGTACAGCCATATAAAAGATATTACAGATACACTGACCATGACTCTTTTCTCTTGATTGTAGCATGGTATCTCGCATGGAAGCTGACCCAGAAGAAATGTACAGCCATATAAAAGATATTACCCATACACTGACCATGACTCTTTTCTCTTGATTGTAGCATGGTATCTCGCATGGAAGCTGACCCAGAAGAAATGTACAGCCATATAAAAGATATAACCCATACACTGACCATGGCTCTTTTCTCTTGATTGTAGCATGGTATCTAGCATGGAAGCTGACCCAGAAGAAATGTACAGCCATATAAAAGATATAACCCATACACTGACCATGACTCTTTTCTCTTGATTGTAGCATAGTATCTAGCATCGAAGCTGACCAAGAAGAAATGTACAGCCATATAAAAGATATAACCCATACACTGACCATGACTCTTTTCTCTTGATTGTAGCATGGTATCTCGCATGGAAGCTGACCCAGAAGAAATGTACAGCCATATAAAAGATATTACAGATACACTGACCATGACTCTTTTCTCTTGATTGTAGCATGGTATCTCGCATGGAAGCTGACCCAGAAGAAATGTACAGCCATATAAAAGATATTACAGATACACTGACCATGACTCTTTTCTCTTGATTGTAGCATGGTATCTAGCATGGAAGCTGACCCAGAAGAAATGTACAGCCATATAAAAGATATAACCCATACACTGACCATGACTCTTTTCTCTTGATTGTAGCATGGTATCTCGCATGGAAGCTGACCCAGAAGAAATGTACAGCCATATAAAAGATATTACAGATACACTGACCATGACTTTTTTCTCTTGATTGTAGCATGGTATCTCGCATGGAAGCTGACCCAGAAGAAATGTACAGCCATATAAAAGATATTACAGATACACTGACCATGACTCTTTTCTCTTGATTGTAGCATGGTATCTAGCATGGAAGCTGACCTAGAAGAAATGTACAGCCATATAAAAGATATAACTCATACACTGACCATGACTCTTTTCTCTTGATTGTAGCATGGTATCTCGCATGGAAGCTGACCCAGAAGAAATGTACAGCCATATAAAAGATATTACAGATACACTGACCATGACTCTTTTCTCTTGATTGTAGCATGGTATCTCGCATGGAAGCTGACCCAGAAGAAATGTACAGCCATATAAAAGATATTACAGATACACTGACCATGACTCTTTTCTCTTGATTGTAGCATGGTATCTCGCATGGAAGCTGACCCAGAAGAAATGTACAGCCATATAAAAGATATTACCCATACACTGACCATGACTCTTTTCTCTTGATTGTAGCATGGTATCTCGCATGGAAGCTGACCCAGAAGAAATGTACAGCCATATAAAAGATATAACCCATACACTGACCATGACTCTTTTCTCTTGATTGTAGCATGGTATCTAGCATGGAAGCTGACCCAGAAGAAATGTACAGCCATATAAAAGATATAACCCATACACTGACCATGACTCTTTTCTCTTGATTGTAGCATGGTATCTCGCATGGAAGCTGACCCAGAAGAAATGAACAGCCATATAAAAGATATAACCCATACACTGACCATGACTCTTTTCTCTTGATTGTAGCATGGTATCTCGCATGGAAGCTGACCCAGAAGAAATGTACAGCCATATAAAAGATATTACAGATACACTGACCATGACTCTTTTCTCTTGATTGTAGCATGGTATCTCGCATGGAAGCTGACCCAGAAGAAATGTACAGCCATATAAAAGATATTACCCATACACTGACCATGACTCTTTTCTCTTGATTGTAGCATGGTATCTCGCATGGAAGCTGACCCAGAAGAAATGTACAGCCATATAAAAGATATTACCCATACACTGACCATGACTCTTTTCTCTTGATTGTAGCATGGTATCTCGCATGGAAGCTGACCCAGAAGAAATGTACAGCCATATAAAAGATATCACCCATACACTGACCATGGCTCTTTTCTCTTGATTGTAGCATGGTATCTAGCATGGAAGCTGAACCAGAAGAAATGTACAGCCATATAAAAGATATAACCCATACACTGACCATGACTCTTTTCTCTTGATTGTAGCATGGTATCTCGCATGGAAGCTGACCCAGAAGAAATGTACAGCCATATAAAAGATATAACCCATACACTGACCATGATTCTTTTCTCTTGATTGTAGCATGGTATCTCGCATGGAAGCTGACCCAGAAGAAATGTACAGCCATATAAAAGATATAACCCATACACTGACCATGACTCTTTTCTCTTGATTGTAGCATGGTATCTTGCATGGAAGCTGACCCAGAAGAAATGTACAGCCATATAAAAGATATTACCCATACACTGACCATGACTCTTTTCTCTTGATTGTAGCATGGTATCTCGCATGGAAGCTGATCCAGAAGAAATGTACAGCCATATAAAAGATATAACCCATACACTGACCATGACTCTTTTCTCTTGATTGTAGCATGGTATCTGGCATGGAAGCTGACCCAGAAGAAATGTACAGCCATATAAAAGATATTACAGATACACTGACCATGACTCTTTCTTCTTGATTGTAGCATGGTATCTCGCATGGAAGCTGACCCAGAAGAAATGTACAGCCATATAAAAGATATTACCCATACACTGACCATGACTCTTTTCTCTTGATTGTAGCATGGTATCTCGCATGGAAGCTGACCCAGAAGAAATGTACAGCCATATAAAAGATATAACCCATACACTGACCATGACTCTTTTCTCTTGATTGTAGCATGGTATCTCGCATGGAAGCTGACCCAGAAGAAATGTACAGCCATATAAAAGATATTACCCATACACTGACCATGACTCTTTTCTCTTGATTGTAGCATGGTATCTCGCATGGAAGCTGACCCAGAAGAAATGTACAGCCATATAAAAGATATCACCCATACACTGACCATGACTCTTTTCTCTTGATTGTAGCATGGTATCTGGCATGGAAGCTGACCCAGAAGAAATGTACAGCCATATAAAAGATATAACCCATACACTGACCATGACTCTTTTCTCTTGATTGTAGCATGGTATCTCGCATGGAAGCTGACCCAGAAGAAATGTACAGCCATATAAAAGATATTACCCATACACTGACAATGACCCCTGTTCCACTTGCTGGCAGATTGGCATTGGTATTGTTTTAGCTATTATACATGTCACTATAATAGAATTTACACTTTTCACTCGCATTGCTTGTCTTTGCAAAAAATAAAACTTTTTTTTTCTTTAGATTGCATATATTGTCGTACATGCATGTGAATAAAACTTGATTTTGAAATCAGTACATCTCATGTATATTTCATAATTTCCACCTGCAAACCATGGACATCCTCAAGAGTTCTGGAAATAATTTTTTCCTTGATCGTCACTGAAGAAAATGTGCTGGTCCTCACTATTATTTCTATTGCAAAATTCCAAATTTGTGTGGGTTCTTTGCAAAATTTATGTGGTCAAAACCTTTAGACAGCCATTTTTGGAGAACCCTGTTACTTGATATTTAACATAAGATTTCTTTGAAAATATTGCAAATGTTTGATTTTTCGCTTCCTACCACGGAGGAGTGTACATGATAAAATCATATTCACTGTAGTGTTTACGTCAATAATAAGACCACACAAATAACCAACGTACATCCTCAACAATAGACAAGTTTCATGTTTTTATGCCCCTACTGTCACCGGAGGGGTATTAAGTGTTGCACTTGTTTGACCGAACGTACGTCCTTAAATTGGTTTCCTTTCTCTTACTTTAGTTTGCATCAACCAAATGTTAATAATTTATTTGCAATGCTTATTACCACAAATTGCAGATCAATTTCAAATTTGATTGGTGTCACTTTTACCTTTCTCCAGTTATGCCCCTTTATAACGTAATATGCAAGAAGGGGCATCATCTGTGTTCCATGAACACATTCTCCATTTATTTGACTTATATATATATATATATATATATATATATATCTTTGTATTTATTAATAAGGTTACAAAATGCTTATTGCTATTGTGCTATCTCTTTTTATTTTGCTTTTATGTTTTAAGTCTTTTCGATCATTACCATATTGGAAAAATGTGAAGCAACCAAAAAATCTTTGTTGACATATATACCTACATGTAATTGAAATATTTCCTTTAAAAATCCTTTTGTTTTTTGGGAAAGACGGCTTCAAGCCGTCAATTCCCTATGTGGCTGGCCAGACTTCCAAGCCTTTCATGTCACTCATTTTGTTTTAATAGTTGTGGAAAACACCTCAAAATTTCATACTGAATTGATGAGAAGGAGACACACAAATGAACAGATTGACTTAAAACTCTTTTTTACACATTTGCCTTCTGTTTCTCATTAAATTATCGTATCTTGACCTCTCCTTTACATTATTTACGTTTCTTTTACTATCCGGTAAAATCAGTATTACGAAATAGTCTAAATATATCCAACCTAGTGTCAGTAGTGACGTCATGGTTGGAATTCCACACTAGGTAGAAGCAGGGATATCCTTTACTCATTATTAAAATCAATGCTTTGATTTGTAGGTCAACTTTCGCGGTAAACAATGGGGATACATGGGATGGGGGAGAGAAATGGCAGTTTCCATTCTTTACTGTATTGAGAATCTCTCCTCCAATACAGGAGCACCTCAAATTGATAATTATCCACCTAATGAAAAGTTAATGTATCTGAACACTTAAAATGTGATATTTATTATATGATAAGTAGTGTTCCATTAAAACAAAATTTTGTGTACCAACATAATCATTGTAATGGTAAAAAAATATATAAAATTTTCAAATGGCTTTTTTTAGTTTAAACATATTTATATGGAAATTTAAAACTGAAAAGACTTTTCAGTCCTCACTTTATTGAGAAAAAAATGAAAATCTTAGGAGCACTGTCACAAAAAATGGAAAATGACCCTAGCTTGCAGTTCAGTGGTATACAATAAAAAATATATATATTGTTGTAGTTATTATTGATAGAATTCAATTGAATTTTAGATAATTATCTTTTAACTTTAATGAAATGTTTTGAATTAGAAGGTGCCAATCTCTTTTATTTGGCCAAATTGACTCTATGATTTTTTTGACTAAGGAAATGAAATTACATTAACCAACAGTTAATTTCAATATTATCAATCTTTCTACATGTTTTTGCTTATTCTCTGTATGAAGACTATCAAAAGATACAAAAAAAAATTAGAAACATTGGCCGTCTTTTCCCTCAGAGCTCTTCAGCTCTTTGATTTTGTTTTTATGTCAGGTTTGTTGGAGATCTTTCACTTTTGAAATGATAAGAAAACTCACAATTTTACATTAAGAGTAGAATTTTAGTATTCTCTTAATTTGGGTGGAAATTTTTCAATGTCTTTCTCTCGAAAAGGTCCTTGATACATTTTCAATTGATTTTACATATCTCTTTCAGTTTCTGAATTTGAATTTCTTGATGTAATTCAATTTAAATCCATTTTTCCTTTTTTATTCATCATGAAAATCCTTTGTATGTCAACTCAGATTTCTTGGTAGCTTTACATTTTTCTGAAATTGTAGCGGTCAAAAGGAACTAATTTTTCTTAACTCATTACAACAAACTTGTTGTTTAAAATAGCAAAAGAAAAATGCTCAATGAATAATAAATGTTGAATTTATGTTATGGAAGGGAACCTAATTCAACTCAGTTTTCTGTTTCAGAATGCCACTTTACACATTACAATACTTTATTTGCAGGAAGTTGAGATTGACGGAGAATCTTTATTTTTGTACCCACCAGAAAAACCAGATAAACCTGTTATAGATATACCTCTTCATTTAGTCTTCCTGTGTTTCAATAGCAACGAGATTTTGAAAATTCTTTCTGCCATTTTATTGGAGGAGAGGATAGTGTTCATTTCATCTAGTTATGCTCTACTGACCACCATTATGCAGGTAAATATTTTCAAAAACAAATGTCTCTCAATTCAAAGGTAGAATTAGGTTAAAAATACTCAATTTGGTTCATAGTTGCCAACCTCTTGCATTGAGAAGTCGCCTCATGACGTAAAAAATAGAGTAGAAATAAATTCATGCAGATTTCACCAAGAGCTTTTATGGTAAATATTGGAAACAAAATTACTTGGGTAGAATATTTAAAAAGGTTAAAATTAAATACAAAAATTGTTTCACTATAATAATAATTTCAGGACCTGATAATTATTTAAATTTAATGACTCTTCACAATTTAAAGCCTCCTAAGTTTAAATTTTTACAATTACTGCTATATGTTCCATTTTATACATCAGTCTGTCTATATGCAAACATAACATACGATTACTCAAATTTGCTTTAACGAATTCTCATGAAATTTTAACAGAATATTAGGATTGACAGAAAACACTTACTTTTAAATTTCAAATTTTTATTTATCTGTCATTCCAGAGTTATGGGACTTTTATCAGTATAATTTTAGGCAATATTTATATTCCTTAGGAATCTTAGGATATATCATCTTGTGACTTTTTTCTAAATATGCTAAAGGGCCATTTTACTGACTTCTGATTTAAAACCTTCTATAAAATATTTCATTTTATTCCTCCAACAATTCCTATAAAGTAAACCAACTAATTTTGCAAACGATTTATTTTCTCGACTTTTGCGAGTAGAAAATTAACTTGAATATATATCGTCGCGAAAATTTAAAACTTGGATCTTTCTTTATTTTAACTACATCAAGTGAATTTAAAAATGGCAAAATTAAATCGCAGTGAAGTGGGCTAGAAAGGGCTAAACGTGAAATAAAGTATCTGCGAAAATAAGTTGGTTTACAGTAAGCAAAAGAAGAGTGTACATTGTGTTCAGGCACAGCTGTTTATTAGTTACCATGTGTTGTGAGATTGCTGTCTTATAGATGTCTTTTACATTTATAAAATAATTATATGAATTGCATTTTCAGAGTTTTCTATACTTTATTCTACCCTTTGAATGGAGGTATTCCTTTGTCCCCATTCTGACCATAGAAGCGTTGGAACTGTTAGAAGCACCAGGGACATTTATGATGGGGTGCCATAAAATACACAGAAAAGAAGTTGAACAGGTTTGATTAGTTTAAATATTAAAAAATGGTCTATTTTTTTTTTCGGCGAATGATTTCATACAAAAACAGAGGTTAAAAAAATAACACTTTTCAAGGATTTGACATTTTATATGGCAGGGATATATTGATGTTATATATGATTTTAATTTTGAAAGTAGATAAGACACACACTTAAATAATGGTCAGTCCACGGGCTAGGAATCACTTATCTGGTGAGATGGAAATTTTATAATGAAACAAAATTGTGATAATGAAGTTAATTAAACTTAAAATTGTTAATCAGGTGAACACATCAGAAATATTTCAAGAAAAATAGAGAAGAATTCAGAATTCAGCAAGGTTTGAAAATAGGTCAAGTCTGAAATCTTAACCATATTAATTTGTTGATAGACCCTTGAGAATAAAGTATTCAAAAGTAATGAATCTATACCCTATTAAATTGATAATTTTTATTGTAATATTTTTTGGAAAGTTTTCAAAGACGTGGGATGTTTCAATGCAGAGATATCATGGCTTTTTTTATTCTAAACCGATTTTTGTAAGATGATAATAAGTAAAATAATGGACTTTAGATAATTTTGGAAAGTCAGATCTATGAATTAAAGGAACCATCAATTCCATGGAATCAAAGTGTTTGATTTGTCGTCTTCTAAGATTTTGTAAATTATGTGTCAGGACTTTTATATTAGAATAAATTTGAGAGAGTAGGAAGGGAAGTTCCATTTTTGGATATGGGTAGTGGGTCATTAAATAAATTAATCCTTGTATGCATGTCCATTTCATGTATGCAAATTTTCTCAATGAAAGTATGTCAGTTGTAGAGCCCTTTTGGTAGTTCTTTTCTACCTTCCAACGTCTGATTTAATGGAATTACCCTCAGGAAAACTTTGGGGTGTGTGTTTTCAGATGGAGTTTTTTTTTTTTGGTTGATATACATTTGCAGATGCCTTGTATTACCATTTGATGTACTGTGGATTCATTATTATTTGTTGGATACCAATTTTCATTGATTTCGTGGGTACAAGTGAACCATGAAAATAAATTGTTCAACGAATGACATATTCTATATAGGCTTGTACGCAGACTTTGACAAAACCACGAAATTCAAAATCTACGAACATGCAAGTTTTTTCCCTAATCCACAAAAATTGCTACCCACGAATATAAATGAATCCACAGTATGCAAATTTTCTCAAAAAAGTATGTTGTTTGTGTTGTGTTCTTTAGGTGTAATACCACCAAATCATAGTACGTCACATCAGGTTGCATACGAAAATAGGTCGAAAAAAAATATTCCCTTGAATTTGACAATTGTAGGTAATTATACCCCCGCTTTAAAAAAGTGGGGTATACTGTTTTACCTCTGTCTGTCCTTCCGTCAGTCCGTCAGTCCGTCCGTCCCATGAATATTTTCGTCGCATTTTTCTCAGGACCAACTTGACAAGGATTTCTGAAATTTGGTTTCAGGGTTAATATAAGTAAGTTACACCGTGTGATGCATTTTCAGATTCATCACTCAACAACTTCCTGTTTACCGACCACTTGTATTATTTTACACATGATAGCCAAGTTGAAAATTTTCGTCACATTTTTCTCAGGAACTACTTGACAAGGATTTCTGAAATTTGGTTTCAGGGTTTATATAAGTCAGCTGTACCGTGTGATGTGTTTTCAAATTCATCACTCAACAACTTCCTGTTAACCGAAATATTACGGCTGGGGTATCATCAGTGAGCAGTAGCTCACAGTTTTACTTGTTAATCCTACATTTCATTGCAGTAAAACATTTCTGGGTCATAAACATATATTTTGGGTATTTAAAAGCCCCATTTTTTTTTTATTTGGGGTTTCTATAGAATATTTTGGAAACTTGAGGTTACATGGTTACTAAAGCTTGTACACAGGTTAATAAAAGGGAAAAATTTGATTGGTTAACTTCCAGTGATGGTTATTTTCTTATATGCAATGAAATTTTATGTGAAATTTTTTCTATAGTACTGGACAGGATAAAACTTTACTCATGCCAAGTATTTCTTTATTTGAAACAAAGATAAATTCTGCACAATTTTTTGAAAAGTGCAAATTTAACAAAGACTGATAGGAGAAAATCAATGGTGGTATTACAGAAGCCTTTTGAAAGTTCCATCCTAACCACCCATGTCCGTTATAATGGAATAACCCTTAGGATAACTTTTGAATGTGTATTTTCAGATAGAGGGAGTTGTTGTGGTAGATATAGACGACGGTTCAGTGACTGTTAACCCTGTTATAGAAATGACAACAAACCAGTCCAATAGTATAGAAAGTTTACATGACATACCAGAAATACCAGATGAGGCTGCCAAGTTATTTTCTAAAGTCTGTAAGAGGGCGCTGTATCAGCATGACTTAGTGGAGTTACAAAGGTATTTTCTAAAGTCTGTAAGAGGGCGCTGTATCAACATGACTTAGTGGAGTTACAAAGGTATATTCTAAAGTCTGTAAGAGGGCACTGTATCAGCATGACTTAGTGGAGTTACAAAGTTATTTTCTAAAGTCTGTAAGAGGGCACTGTATCAACATGACTTAGTGGAGTTACAAAGGTATATTCTAAAGTCTGTAAGAGGGCACTGTATCAGCATGACTTAGTGGAGTTACAAAGTTATTTTCTAAAGTCTGTAAGAGGGCACTGTATCAGCATGACTTAGTGGAGTTACAAAGTTATTTTCTAAAGTCTGTGAGAGGGCGCTGTATCAACATGACTTAGTAGAGTTACAAAGGTATTTTCTAAAGTCTGTAAGAGGGCGCTGTATCAGCATGACTTAGTAGAGTTACAAAGGTATTTTCTAAAGTCTGTAAGAGGGCGCTGTATCAACTTGACTTAGTAGAGTTACAAAGGTATTTTTCTAAATTCTGTAAGAGGGCGCTGTATCAGCATGACTTAGAAGAGCTACATTTTTGTACAAAGGTAATTAGGGGGAATCACCAGTTATAGTCCCTTAACAAAAACTACAGAGCAACAGATTCCTTACCTTTACCTTAATTCTCCAGGCCTCCATGCTGAAGCAACAGATTCAATAGACTATTTTTACCGACTTTTGTCTCCAGAGTTTATAATTTTTCAACAGGTTACTTACTAAGTGGTATGTTATTCTGGTACTCAGTCATGTAAAAGCAACTAAAAGAAGGAAAATCATTCTTACAATTGGGGCAAAGGACAAGGTACCATAAGTATCAGAGAAAAGCCCCAATTTTTGTTTAGATTAAAGACCATGTGCCATAAATTATAATACTTTACTGTGGATTTATTATTATTCGTTGGATACCAATTTTGTGGATTTCGTGGCCTCAAATTTCAGGTTCATCTGATGAAAGATTTTGGTCACTTTTTAAACACTTAAGTGTCTACTTCAGTCGATTCAATTAGTTTATGTGACAGATTTGAACTGATTTTATCATTAAAGACGCTCAGATTCAAGCTTAGATATGAAAAATCTATCAAATATGCCATAATATGTCACTTTTCAGATGGTTTTTGTCAAAAATGAAAGTGGCCGCATCCGTGTTCACTCTCAACCTTTATATATGTTATGTATTATCATCAAATACAACTTGCATTTAAATATTAAGAATGAACACAAATGCGGCCACTTCCATTTAAGACGGAAACCGTCTAAAATTTAACTCAAATGCTAAAATTGTGAAGATTTCCGTAATTTAGCATGACTTAATGATGCTAGTACCCGATATATATGCATTGTATTGTCAAAAACTGTCCATATTTATGTAGCAGAAGTATTCTACTTTCCAATAAATAGCTTAAAGTTTACATTTTAGCAATTTTGTAAAACTGCTATATTTTTGGGCCAAAAAGGGGTCTTACTGGACCTACTCCTTTCCTAAAGATATTTATGCAGACTTTGGCAAAACCCCGAAATCAAATATCCAAGAAAATGCAAGTTTTCCTCAATCCACGAAAATTGGTACACACAAAAATAAATGAATACACAGTATGTATAAAGTCTGAAACCTATATTTTTGTAAACTTTAATAGTTCTGTCAACTTTGTCTGATTTAATTCATGTTTTGTTGTGGTAAATGCCTCCAGATTTGCGAAAAGGGAAGAAAAATGGCAGTTCTCAAAAAAATAAAATGTGAAAAAGTTCAAGGTTAAAAATTCAAGTGTTGACTGATAAGAGAAAAATTCTGAGAAGCCTGAAAAGAATAAACAAGATGGATGATATCGAATTTTATAATTTCTTTGGCAATATATTTTTGCCAATTATAAATTTTCTTTTTTGCCACAACTTTATTTTTTACAAAATGCAATGATGGCCATCAATAGCAGAAACCTTGTCTCAAACATTACAATAAATGAATGGAACACAGATAAAGACATATTAAAAATCAGAGATAAATACTGTCACAAATCAGGCAATGTCAAATGTAACTTGAACAACCGCCTGTGTCATTGTGTATTGACATCAGAAGTATTTTCATTTCAAGAATTTTGTTTTACTTCTCAACAGGCCAGTGTGCTTTGACATCAGAAAGAGAAGAAAGATGGAGAAACTAAAAGTACAACAGTTGAATTCAAACATCACTGCAGGATGTTTGGAACTCATGGTTAATTTATATAGGTAAGTATTGTTGTAATACCATAAAACAGAGAAGCAAAGGACACAGGCTATCCACCCTGAGACAAAATCAGTACATGAAACTTATACACAATGCTTATTACCACCAAATACAGATCAAGTTTGAATTTTGCAATGTTTGGGTGGCGTCACTTTCAATGTTCTTTAGTTATGTTTCTATACAAATGGAAAAAATGCTGAATTTGCCATATATTTACAAGTGACCTTTGCCTCATGGACACATTCCTCTTTTACTGAAGAAGGAAACACTTATTAGTTAATTGTTCTACATGTGTGTTGTTGGTTAAAAAAACTAACATACCTACTAACCCCTGCAAGGCATGGACAGGCAACAATAACCAATTTTTTTTTTAATGATGGCCTGGACAATGGTGGGGAAAAGGGGGGGGTGTTGTTGATTACTTTTTTACTTATAGTAGGAATTTACAAATTTAAGAATATATGGAAAGGAAACATATTGAGCAGTTTTATGATTTATGACCATACTTTTTTTTCTGTTGTAGAGGTGTTATGTCAGAAATTCGATTAGAACATCAGAGATTTAACAAGCAAGCATTCCTTGACAGCATACAGGGCCTAGATAAAAAGTTTTATGAAAGAGTAAGTTGGTATAGATGTAGAAAATATCCACTTTTTTAACATATTTTGGGTGAATATGATGTGACTGTAAATTCTGAATTTTTTGTGTGCATTTATTATTGGGATTGTTGAAAAATGGATGGAAATACCAGATTAAAGTATTGCAATTTGACTTAATGCCTTCAAAATGTAAAATATTTTTGTGAAACCTATCTAGTGGTAATTTTCACAATCATAAAACTGTCAGTAGAATTTCTGAATTTTTAGTGCTCGCATTGTTATCCATACATCTGTCCATCCAGAAACAAATTAAAGTTTTTGATTCACGTAGTTTACAATGAAGTTGGGGGAAAGTCAACTTGTAACTTAGTACACATTATCTTTCTCAAATGAATTGTTTCACATTTACCATGTTTGGACCTTTTATAGCTGACTATGCGGTATGGGTTTTTCTCATTGTTGAAGGCTGTACAGTTACCTATAATTGCTTACATCTACTTCATTTGAACTTTGTTTGATAGTTGTCTCATTGGCAATCATACCACATCTCCTTATTAGTCCCCTACTGAAGAAGTCGAGGGGACTTTAGGTTTGCACCCCTTCCGTCTGTCTGTCTGTCTGTCTGTCCATTGGTCAGTCCAGCAAATCAGTGAAGATATTGATTTGATAATTGGTATCTAGTTTTATCATGACAAGTTACAGACCAAGTTCGAATTTTGTTTGGGTCTGATGATTTTGTGCAGAGTTATGGTCCTTGGACTTAGAAAATTCACTTAAATAATCAGTTTTCCACACTTTTCTTCGTCATGCTTGAAGATATTGATTTGATATTTGTTATATAGGCTACACCATGACAAGTTATAGATCAAGTTAGCATTTTGTTCCAGTTCAATTAATTTTTAACCAGTAGGGGACTATGTATTGCCATGCAATACTCTCAGAATGCTTGTTTTTATATATGTTCATCTAGCATGTATCATATGACCTTGACCTCATTCTCTTAGTTCATTGGTCAATGTTAAGTTGTTTTAAGTTTGGCAAGTTTTTCAGATATGATAAGCAATAGGTCAACTTTATATGGTGTATGGAATGGTTGAAAGGTGTACATTTCTGTCTGGCAGGTATTGTTTGATCTTGACTTCATATTCATTGTTCATAGGTCAATGTTCAGGTTTCCTGGTTTGGTCCCTATAACAGGGTTAATCTGACCTTGGCCTTGTTTCCATGGTTTGTTGGTCAACATAAAGTTTGCATGGATAGGGCTGTTTTTTTACGACTGCAAAAAATGTTTTGCTTTGGTATAATGCTATCATGTTATCGTCGGAAAACTTATTTGGTTTCAGGACCATAACTTTAGTTTTAAGTTAATGGATCTCTATGAAATTTTACCAGAAGGTTCAATACCACAAAAGAAAGGTTAGGGTTGATTTTTGGGGTTATGGTACCAACAGTTTAGGAATTAGGGGCCAAAAAGGGGCCAAAAACAAGCATTTTTGTAGTTTCCGGACAATTACTTGTGTTTAAGTGTATAGATCTCTCTAAAATTGTACTACAAGGTTCCATACCATAAAGGAAAGGCTTGAATTGAGTTTGGGGGTTATTACTCCAAGGGGGGGTTCAAAAAGTTTGGGGGGAGGGGGATTTTTTTCCCGATTTTTTCTGGGGGTTCATATCTTTTTTCTTCAAAAATTTGAAATTTGAAATTTTTTGAAAAGTTTCAAGAAGAAATCATCAATTGCACAGTATTGCACAATAGCACAGTTTTGCGCAATAGCAAGAAATCTTTAATCGACAGTATTGCAAAATAGCACAGTATTGTGCAATAGACCCAAGACCACAATTAATGACCCCGCTTTTCATTGTCCACGAATATAGTTCCTTTTAATTAAAGTGTATTTTTTCTTAATTTATTTTCTTTGCCTTCCTCATTCATTTCCTAGTTTTTTTTGGGTGGAAATGAAAGAAGAGAGGTGAAATAAAATTTTGGATGTTGTATTTTAACTGATTTTGATCTAAAAAGAGTGATTAGGCCAGGTGCAAAAAGGTAATATTTACAGTTTTCGGAACATCTCTTGACTTGTCCATAGGGGTATGGATGTGTATTGGCTAAATTTGTAAGAGTGATTAGTTCAATCTGTCTGAATGTTGGATATATTTTTGGACTAGTACTGTACTTTACACACACAAAATATTTGACAAAAAGATTTGATGCATTTTTTTTAATGAGACAAAACGTTATAAAGAACTAATAGAGGAATTTAATTGTGGTCTGTGGCCAATAGCAAGAAATCTTCAATTGTACAGTATTGCGCAATAGCATAGTATTGCGCAATAGCAAGAAATCTTCAATTGAAAATAAATACAAATCTTTTATCCAATTTCAATGGGATTAATTTAAAGTCTTTAATTTTTTGGGGTTCTAAAGTTGTATTACTATTTTGGAAATTGGGCCCCATTTTTAAATTGGTCTACATTGAGGTAAAAAAAGTCCAAAATTAAACTTTGTTTGATTTCATCAAAAACTGAATTATTGCGATTGTATGATATGCCGAATCTTATTGTGAATTTATATTTTTTATTTTGGGTCCTGTTTTCAAATTAGTCCATATTAAGGTTTGAAGGGTCCAAAATTAAACTTTTTGTTTGATTTCAACTAAAATTAAATTTTTGGTGTTTTTTTATATGCTGAATGTAACCATGTTGTTAGATTTTGGATATCAGACCATTCTAGATAAATTAAATGTCCCATTTAAAATTTTTTAGATCTTTGACCACATTTATTTTGTGTCAGAAACCTATATTATGTCAAAAATTTGATCACAATCCATATTCAGACAGTATCTAGCTTGAATATTGTGTCCAAACTTGCCCCAACTGTTCAGGGTTCGACCTCTGCGGTAGTATGAGGCTGCACTCAGCAAAGCATTTTATTTGGATACTGTAAGCAATAGACTAACTTATTTCGGTGTATGATTGTTAGATGTACATATCGATCTGGCAGGGTTCATCTGACCTTGACCTCATTTACATTGATCATTGATGACTTAAAATTTATGTATTTCTTGTCATCTTGTGTAAAAAAACCTTTATTGTAAATACTTTCATCATAAAATCAATCATGAACTGTAAAGCAGGGGAGACATTTCAGTGTGTGTACTTATGTCTTTCATAAATGCAATGAAAAAGACAAACAACAGTCTACAAACATAACACAACATAGAGCATTCAAGACTGAGCAAAACACAACATAGAGCATTCAAGACTGAGCAAAACACAACATAGAGCATTCAAGACTGAGCAAAATACAACATAGAGCATTCAAGACTGAGCAAAACACAACATAGAGCATTCAAGACTGAGCAAAACACAACATAGAGCATTCAAGACTGAGCTAAATACAACATAGAGCATTCAAGACTGAGCAAAACACAACATAGAGCATTCAAGACTGAGCTAAATACAACATAGAGCATTCAAGACTGAGCAAAACACAACATAGAGCATTCAAGACTGAGCATAACACAACATAGAGCATTCAAGACTGAGCAAAACAACATAGAGCATTTAAGACTGAGCAAAACACAACATAGAGCGTTCAAGACTGAGCTAAATACAACATAGAGCATTCAAGACTGAGCAAAACACAACATAGAGCATTCAAGACTGAGCAAAACACAACATAGAGCATTCAAGACTGAGCTAAATACAACATAGAGCATTCAAGACTGAGCTAAATACAACATAGAGCATTCAAGACTGAGCAAAACACAACATAGAGCATTCAAGACTGAGCATAACACAACATAGAGCATTCAAGACTGAGCAAAACAACATAGAGCATTCAAGACTGAGCACAACACAACATAGAGCGTTCAAGACTGAGCAAAACACAACATAGAGCGTTCAAGACTGAGCAAAAACACAACATAGAGCATTCAAGACTGAGCAAAACACAACATAGAGCATTCAAGACTGAGCAAAACACTAGCAAAAACTAGGGTTGAACTTAGGTGCCTGTCCCAAGTCAGAGCCTGTAATTGAGTGGTTGTTGTTTGTTGCTGTTTCTTATATTTGTTTTTCGTTTATTGTTTTGTATAGTTTGTTCTTGTGTTGTGCCGCTGCACCTTTGTCTCAGTTAAGGGGGAGGGTTTGGCCACCAGCAAACTAATTTAACACCGCCACATTCTGTATGTGCCTGGCCCAAGTCAGGAGCCTTTGATTAAGTGGTTGTTTTTGTTTCTGTGTAACATAATTGTTTTTTTGTTCATTATTTTGTACTTAAATTAGATTGTTAGTTTTCTTGTTTGAATTGTTTTCAATTCGGGGCCTTTTATAGCTGACTATGCAGTATGGGTTTTGCTCATTGTTAAAGGCTGTACGGTAACCTATAGTTGTTAATCTCTGTGTCATTTGGTCTCTTGTGGAGAGTTGTCTCATTTGCAATCATTTTTATATTAGGTGCTCCAGAAGGGTTAGCAGATCCTGCTCCACATCTGACACCCATCATGTTTTCCTGATTATGTTGATAAGTTATATCAGATGAGTAGGCACAACCTTCTCATTCAAAAGTTAAAATCTTTCAGTAAAAATGAAGTAAAATGATTTATTAGTTCTAAAAATATACAACAATGTCCATGAATATTTAATTATAATAATTATATTCTATAAAATAAAATGATGTAGTATTCTGCAATGTACATGACTGTTTAATTATAACAAAATTATAAGATATAATACAACAAAAATATGAAAGGAGGAGGTTTGATCAGGCCACTTTTTGGCCCCCTTCAATTCAAAAATATAGAAATATAAGAAATCTACCAAATAAGATCCTCAGACGTTTGTTAAACATTAGTCTGTCAGATATCAGTGTGAATATTTAGAATTTTGTCATTCTTCAAATGTCTTGCAAAATTGAAATTAACTGCCCAAATAGCCTCTTTTTGAGATCATTCCATTAAATGTTTTGATATAAGCCAAGGCTTTACCCATACATGTATTGTGCTCCAAGTTGTATTTTA